CCACTAGATGGGGATTTGTATGCAAAATGTCACTAAAAGCGCCATTTCGTTCTTATAAAAGCATGGATGACCGCGATTGGCCCATATATGTTGTAGTCTTTTGGACGCTGAGTCGATTGGTTTTGGTCCGAAAAGGCTGCGATGCAGCGTTCCTCCTTTATTCCCAATCGAACATGGTTGAACAAGCGGTCACGTGCTCCTGCGTACGCCAGTCACTTGGTCACCGTGCCTGCAGGGCACAACTTACTAGCCTGTTTGACCTTTCTTGGGTGCAGTCCTGTCACTCGAGTTGAACCTTGGTGTGAAAGTTGTCGCCTGCTGGTTTGGTGACCAGGTGATTTGGGCACCCAGGAGCACGTGACCGCTTGTTCAACCATGTTCGATTGGGAATAAAGGAGGAACGCTGCATCGCAGCCTTTTCGGACCGAAACCAGTCGACTCAGCGTCCAAAAGACTACAACATATGGGCCAATCGCGGTCATCCGTGCTTTTACGAAACGGCGCTTTTAGTGACATTTTGCATACAAATCCCCATCTAGTAGGGCGCAGTCACCCAGTTTCGGTGGAAGTGCGCGAGTTCGATTGGGATTCAAGTAGGAAGGGAGCGTCTCAGCTTTCTCGGACCAAGACCATTCGACTCAGCACCCCGAAGACTACAACTGGTGAAATTTTAATTTTTTGCCTTAACTTCCCCTTTAAACGTCAAACTGCCACCATACTGGGCTGCTGACCCCCAGGTTTGGTTCGCGCATGTAGAATCCCTGTTTTCAACTCGACGCATCACCAGCCAGGTGACAAAATATCAGTATGTGGTGGGATCACTGACACCTGAGTATGCGGCAGAGGTACGAGATATCATCTTGGATTCTCCAGCTCACCAGCCATACGACGCTCTCCGCAAGCGTACCTTTCACCGTACACAGATGTCGGAACAGCAGCGTTTACGTCTGCTGATTTCAGATGAGGAGTTGGGCGACAAAAAGCCTACCCAGCTATTACGTAAGCTGCAGCAGTTGGTGGGTGAGAACACCATGCCGGAAAAACTCTTACGAGAGCTCAGCCGGTTACCTCGATCTGCCAAGTCTATAGTAGCGTCCTGCCCAGCATCACTGCCGCTGCAGGATCTGGCTGAAATGGGCATCATCATTACTGCCACTACTGGAAGAGAATGTTGTGGCTTGAGATTCCTCCACTGATGGATGGCACTGAAGTAATAGTTGAATTGAATGATGCATCCAATAAGCTAGAAGAGGCACACCTGAAGTGTGTAGATGAAGATGATGACACAACCACATCAGACAAGGTTTTAGATATCATTGAGCAGGCTACGAAGTTGGTAGTAAATATTAAACAGCTCTTCAAATTCTGCTACTTCCGCTGCAGCTACAGGTATTCCTATCGCCAAGATGACTCCTTTGCCCTCCGTGCGAGTCCGTAGTGACATGACTACACTTGTAGACCTACAAGTACATAGGCGTGCACTCTGTGGTTCCTTCATCCAGCCAGCTCGAAAAGAGATATCAATATGAGGATGCGATGACTTCGTAGCTTGTTACATGTGCAGTCCTGATCAACGAAAATCCAATCGAGTGAGTCAAGTACGCTCTGGGCGCGGTGCGGCCCTAGACCTGCGAACACTGGGATATCCACAGGTGCAGGGCGCAAACTTGACTCACTTGATCGGATTTCATTGATCAGCACTGTACGTGTAAATCTACCTGGCTAAGGTTACTGCAGTTGGACGTACTGGTATGTTCTCCATACGCATAATCTACCGTGCAGTTTTGTAGATCTACAGGACGCTATATGTAAGCCTTGCTTGATAGTTTACCAGGTGTGAGCATGACAGCATATCACACGGCGGAGGATACACTGCGGTCTCCGGCTGCAGTCAGGAACACTGTTTTCAATGCAGTGCGTTCTCCGTCCTTCGTCTTGTGATATGCTGTCATCACCATATCTACCTGGCACCTAGTGTTGCGTTACTGCAACAGCACTAAGGGTAAATGCCCATGCACACTCTCTCAGTCCAACACAACCATCACACTCCGGTAGGAATTACAAACTATACAGTATACTTGATGAAGACAGAAGGAGAAGTGGAGAACACGGGGAACAGAGTAGGCATGTAAACAGCACAGGCACGCAACAGTTACCGCTGGTGCATGCGAGGTGCATGTGCGTACGCGAAGGTGTGAAATAGGAAGCGGGGTCAAATTACATATGGATGCACCATGCCAAATATATAGGCACAGGTAGGTGACTGTACATCTCCCCCCGAAAAAAAATGCGAACGGAGGGACACGAGAAAGTGTGGAGCAAAGGAGAGAGGAAAAGGAACAATAGCAGTTCTGGAGCGGGTACCAACGTGAGCATTACTCAGAATGATAGAGAGAAAAAAAAACATGAAAAGAACACAGTCATAGTTCAACTGGAACACATGGAGTAAACAGTGTTACTGTGTTCAGGTATTGGCAGCATAGCGTTGCGGCGCATGGCGAACACGGCTGGATGGTGGTCTGCGACCGGGTGGCAGAGGCTTAGCAACTCTAGGAGACTGCGGCACAGGCAGAAGAGGTGGCAGAGTAGAGTTAGCTGGTAGTTGCAGGGCAACATGCACAGGAGCCGGAACACCATACTCAACCTCATACATGGGCTCAATGGAGGAGGGTGAGCGGGAGGGATCAGGGCGTTTGGCTGGCGTGGATGGCAACGCACGCACGTGGCGACGATTTCGGCGGACAGATGACCCAGGAGTGAGGTCGATCGTGTAAGAGCGTTCGGACAGGCGGTTCTGGACGTGTCCAGTTTTGTCCATATCGGGGACATACACAGGAGCACCAGGGGCGAGAACAGGCAGCAGTCGAGCACGGTGGCGTTCATTGTAGCGATCAGCCTGCCGAGACCTGGAAGATGCTTCCTTGTCGGCAAGGGCGGTCAAATCGGGCCAGGCTGGAGCAGGGAGGGGTCCTGGTAGCCGGGAGCGGATTTGGCGGCCAAACAACAGCTGTGACGGTGAATAACCGTTGGCCAATGGCGTAGACCGGTAGGCCAAGAGAGCGGAAGGCAAGTCATCATTCTTGAGGATGAGCTGCTTGGCTGTCTGAACGGCACGTTCTGCAGCGCCGTTGCTTTGGGCGAAGCGAGGACTTGACGTGCGATGGGCAAACCCAAGCTCGGCAGCAAATGCACGGAAGCTGGCACTAGCAAATTGTGGACCGTTGTCAGACACTAGCGTGTGTGGAATACCATGGGTAGAAAACACGGAGTGGAGAGAGGCAATCACAGCGGCAGACGTAGTAGTGGTAAGTTGTTTGACTTCGATGTAGCGCGAGAAATAGTCGACAACAACTAGGTAAGTGGATCCTTTGGCTGCACACAGATCACACGCGATCTTTGACCATGGAAGAGATGGGAACTCGGACGAGATGAGCGGCTCGGCTGGGTTAGGACGGGCCTTGGCACAGGTGGCACAAGACATCACATACGACTCAATGTCCGTAGACATACCAGGCCACCACATCACAGCGCGCGCACGAGCACGACACTTACCAACGCCTTGGTGACCCTCGTGAGCACTGGCAAGGGTGGCGTTGCGCTGGGATGCAGGGATGATGACACGTTGGCCACGGAATATGAGACCATCAGCAGTTGAGAGCTCATCGCGAACAGCGAAGTACGGGCGGAGGCTAGCGGGGACCGAGGTGGGCTTGGCTGGCCACCCGTTGAGGATGAGGGCACCGAGGCGACACATGTCGGCATCAGCGTTGGTCGCGTTCCGAACGTCGACCAAGAGCGGGTCGGTGGAGCAATGCGATGTGACGGCAGACACATGCAGCTGTACTTCATCAGCAAGATCACTAGTAGGCGAGGACTCTTGCGGAGCACGGGATAGGGTGTCGGCAATGACGAGTGACTTGCCGGGCACGTGGATAGCGGTTGGGTTGTACCTCATCAGTCGCATCAGGAGTCTCTGGCATCGCAGAGGAGAGCGGGCGAGATCAGCGGAGTTGATGAGAGGCACGAGAGGCTTGTGGTCAGTCTCGACTGTGAACTGAGGACCGCCGTAGATGTAGTGGTGGAAATGCTCGCATGCCCAAACGATGGCGAGACACTCTTTCTCAATCTGGGCATAGCGCTGCTCGGTAGGAGATAGAGAGCGGGACGCATAGGCAACAGGGCGCCAGCGGGAGCCATCAGGCTGCAGGAGGACAGCACCCAGTCCGTAGCTACTGGCATCAGCACTAATACGGACGGGCTGGTCGGGCGAGAACAGTGCCAAGCAGGGAGCAGTAGTAGCGAGTTCCTTGAGGCGACAGAAGGCAGTTTCTTGCTGGGTGTCCCACTGCCAGGCGGTGTCGGCCTTCAGGAGAGCACGGAGCGGGGCACTGACATTGGCCATATCTGGCACAAACTTCGACAGAAACGTGAACATGCCCAGCGCACGGCGTAACTCGGGCACGTTGGTCGGTGACTTCAGAGCTTGGATGGCAGACACCTTGGTACAGCGCAGCACGTACGCAACTATCATTTATTTGCACAGAGTCGCACCTCCCTACAGAGTCTAGTTACAAGTGCTAGCTTGCACAGGAAACTGTGACCTTTGCACTCGACCAAACTCACGCGTCCAAAAACATACCATTTTTGACCGAATGTCACTTCTCGAGCTTGCAATGTACATATTATGTGTGACCCAGGGAGGGTTTATGCAACTCCGGATCCCTGGTGTGATCCAAACAGTCGGTTCCGTGTCCATAAAACTGGACGATGCCTATAAGATTGGGCATGAATATATCAACCACCTCGCAAGTCTCATGCCACTAATCCTTTCTGCTTTTTCGTCCAGACCGTCGATTTTTCGGCCGATGCTCCGACACCAACTCCGATATATTCATTAGAAAAAATGCAATGGTCCTTGTCGTTGGTACGCCGCTTGCTACTTTCATCGCGATAATTTGTTTTCTTTCTCCTCAAAAATTATTCATTCATTTCAAACTTAC